TTATGATAAAGGAACAATACAGTTGATGTGTATCCTTTTTTATTAATTTTTCGCCCCTAGGAGAAACCAGAAGCCAGAGTCAGGTGACTGGAGCAAGCTGGCCCAGAAGTAGCCATAGGTACACATGTTGTGTGATGTCATCAGTACACGTGCTGACTGTGTGTGATGTAGTATAAGCATGTGTACATGTAGTGTGATGTCATAGGTCTCGGTGGTGCATGCATTAACCCACTGCACTTCTGGTAGAAAATGTCTTCTTTTTTTTCACAAATGTTGGATGTCAAGTCTTAGGAAATTTTTATGAAACAGTCTTGTAAGATTTCTTCAGATCAGAGAGAAGACTCAAGAAGATTTCTTCAGAGTTAAAATTTTAAATCCAACACAAAAAGTTCTCTCACCTAGAGCTTTCGACCAGTCTTCCTCAGTAGACTGACCCAGTGAGGCTTGTCACGTGGCTTTTTTGAAGTGTGACGTCGAAAAAAATTTAGTTTCATGAAAGAAAGCAAAAGGAAATAAAGCATAACCAGAATGCCAACATTTGTGAATCTCTGCTAGTCTAAAAACCAGCCTTGTTTAGAGCTATAGATCTGCTCCCACAAAGCTAACAAGACTGGATTTCAGGCTAATATAAGTCTGTGCTGCAATAGAAAGCCAGAACCTGCACACTAACAGTATAATGCATGTTTTTTTTTCTTTCATCAGCATGGCTTGAGGTGTCTTTTCTCTGTGACCCAAATAACACCCCCCCCCTCTCCAATTCCTGGTGCTTACCAACTCTGCATGGTGTAGGTGGTGGTGCTTCTAATTTTACTTCTGACTTCCCAGCAGCGATGTACGCAATCCAAGATAAACCAAGCAACAGGGTAACATTTTCGGAAGATTAAGATACTATTAAACCGTGTAATATGTATGTACAGGTTACACTTCGATATCTGAAATTTTGAAATGTCTGACTCTTCAGGGAATTTATCCAGTTGTTTGATTTATTTTGTATTACAAAATGTCCTACCTGGATGTCTAACCTTCAACGGCATGCATGGAACCAAAATCTTGTTGCTTGTCTAAATTTACAGATTGTTTTTAACATGAACTGATGGTATATGTTTCTCGCAATGTTTCCCCCCCAGAGTACACCAGAAAGTGCCACATATAGACTGACAGGACCGGCCTTTTTGGGGTCAAGGTTCACCAGAAAGGTCAAGGTCAAGGTCAATACACATTCTAAAGATCCAAGGTCGACAGAAAGGAAGAGAAGAGTCAGCATTTCGATCCAACATAATTCAGAGGTCATGGTTCAACAAACATCAAATAGCAAGGTCCAAGATGTTTGGAGGTCAAGGTTCAAGGTGCAAAATATGGAGGAAAGGTGAAGGGTCAACAGTCAGAGGTCAGGGTGTATATAGGTAGGGAGGTGCAATGATACAAACCTGGACATTCAGTCACGAGTTATCTGTATAATTGGCATAAATGTGGATGATGACTTTTTCTGTTGTATTTTTAAGTAATTAAGTTAGTAATTATTTATCTCATTATGACAGTGAAACAACTGTTTTCAACTGTGCCCTATATTTCTTCATGCTCTCAGGCAACAATATCCAACGGCCATGTGATCATGCCATATTCAGAAAGGTGCAGATGATATAGCCTCCTTAGCATGGTCTACAAGTCAGGCGAAAATTGTGCATTTTTTCTGAATCTACAACAGTTCTCATTGTATTTGTTGTACTTGTTTTCCTGTGGGCTGCAACCTTTAACACACAAGAACCTACATACACAGAACTGATATGCTACATAAAAAAACAACCATTTTATAAATACTTTTTAAGCCCAGAAAGCCTGACTTGTATAGCCTAATAAGGAGACTACAGATTATAAGTAGACAGTTGAGAAACTGTTTTCTGTATTTTTGCCAAATTTTGAGGCATTTTTGTAGCCTTGATGCCATCTATTTTGTAATGAGGCCTCTTGCACTCACTGACCTGAGCTAGCATTACTGTTTTTGATGAAAACAACTTGTCCTATGCAATACACACATAAAAGCAACTGAGCAGGCATGCTAACATATGGAAAGTGTAGTCTCTACCAGACTAACTACGCTGGCTATATATAGGAGAATATTTGCCAGGGGAGTTTGGCCGCCTTGTAGGTTTGACTGGCCGCACAGGAGGGAAAGAAACTACCTCCCCGCGGCCGGACTCCCTTGGCCAATTTTACTCTCTTTTTTGCCAAATTCAACAATCTGTATTCCCGTAGAAAGGCCTGGTGGAGGCTATGGAAAGTGCACTCAAACAAATAATGTGATGTGAAACATTTTATAGCAAAGCTGCCATTAGAGTTGAAGTTAATGTCTTTGGTTTAGTTTTATTTTCATGATTTGATGAAGAGAGTAACAGGCATTGTAGACTTATAATTATGTACTAATCATACATAATACAATGTGACATGAGACATTTTATAGCAAGGCCAGTAGACTTCAAGTTAATTTGTTTGGTATTTTGTTTTATTTTCATGATTTGATGTAAGAAGAGGGTAACAAGCATTGTAAATTTATGTACTTATGTACATAATACAATGTACCAGGAGGGATTGTATAAACAAAATAGGTGCAATTTTGTTTAAAGTTAAAACTTTCGATCCAACACAACAAAGTTCTCTCACCTAGAGCTTTCGACCAGTCACTCTGGTCTTCCTCGGTAGACTGACCCAGTGAGGCTTGTCACATGGCTTCTTGATACAGATGAACTTTTAAAATAGGTGCAATTTTTATTTCATTGTACAGTGGGGTCCTGGCTACAATGGCTGTTGAAAATGGGAACTGTGGTGTTCTAGAACAGAAATATCAATGACAACTAGATAATGGCCTGCTTTACACATACCATTTCTAAGTCGACTAGAAAAATTTCTGTTACCGGTAACACACGGGGCCGCAAAGCGACTTGGGACTCCCGCTGTGCCACCCTCCCGCCAAGTCGACTCGGTGGCTCGGTCTTGCCTGACTACTGCGCAGAGACGCTGAAGTCGACTTCACCCGTTTACCCACGCGAAGCTAGTGTACTCAGCACCCCGCTGGCTGACTTAAGTCTGGTTTGGATATGACTCAAGTCGTCTTTATTAGAATACAACTTGAGTTGAATTATTTCTCTTTACACAGAGAAATTTTCGCTCAAGTCGACTAGAACTCAAGACGACTTGAGCTAGTCGACGAGACGAGCAAAAATTTCCCTGTTCTCTTGAGTTCTAGTCAACTTGAAAAAGTTATGTGTAAAACAGGCCAGTGTTAAGTATTTAGTTGAATGGTGCTAGCTAAAAATTTTGGTCTTCTAGTCCCCACCACTGACTTTACATTGTATATCTCCTAACATTTGGGGCAACATGAAACTGACTATGGTGCAAGACTGTAGGATATTCCAATAAAACCTACATTTGCAGTTCTGAATATTGTCTTCATTATGTTTACCGAAGGAAAACATACTGTTTTTACTCAGTTTCTTCCTCCTCCTTTTCTGTTCCAAACACTAACCTCTGACCTGGCCAATGATATGATTTGTTGACGTCTGCCACCATGGTGACTGGTGTTGGTTACATAATGTTGCAATTTCATGGTCTGCTCTACTCCTGTCACCATATACTCATAGTACATGTGAATGTGTTTGAGTAAGAATTAACAGGGTAGACCATGTCCAAAGGTAAACATGCATTACTTCTCTAGTTCAATTCAATTCTTATTATCATACAAACATTGCAGACATACATATATAGAATTGTAATGTTGCCTGAATGACATTGATATTTACAATCATTACATTAAAATAAACACATAACATTACAAAGCCTGGTTACCAAACCTATTATAGCTCCCGAGTCCTAGGATGTAGCTATATTTGGTTTGGTAACCAGGCTAAACATTACATTGCGTTACATATATACATGAATATATGCATACTACTGATATGAAACTGTGCATCCCATGCAGGCCAGACATAGCAAGTTCTGATTATACAGTCTGATTGTAGAGTCTGATGGACTGATGTAGGAACGAGTTCTGAAGTCTTTTTGTTCTGGCTGGGGGATGGAGATGGTGTTTTTATTTCTAAGAGAGCGTCCAGTAGTTAATTCTTTAATTATATATATTAACACGTACTGGCATCAAATATATTTTATACATTTATATTATTTGAATCTAAGAAACAATTGACCAGTGTTACAGAATTACACACACCAGAATACCCCTACTGGTTACATGAAGCATATAACATTTTGCCAGTAGCTACATTCATACTCAAGGGGGAAGGATATAGCCTCCATAGCATGCCGAAAACGGGGGGGGGGTTGGGGGGCGGTTCTTCATGGTCTTTGGTAGCTTTTATGTGCTATTTTCTGATTGCATATAGACAACATAGCCAGCCTGGTGGAATTACACG